AAATCTACTGGAATTTTTTCAGGGATGCATCTAGTGGAGTTGATAAGGGGGAAGCAGTGGATGTATTTTACTTAGAGTTTGAGAAGGCTTTCGATGTGGTCCTACATTGGAGATCAGTGTGTAAAATTAAAGTACGTGGGATTGGGAGTAGTGTACTGACATGGATAGAGAACTGGATGGCAGTCAGTAAACAAAGAATAGGAATAAACAGGTCCTTTTCCAAGTTGCAAACAGTGACTGGTGGGGTACCACAGGAATCAGTGCTAAAACATCAGTTATTCACAATATATATTAGTGATTTAGATGAGGGAATTAAATAGAATATCTCCAAGTTTGCAGACAATACAGAAGTAGGTAGGAAGGTGAACTGTGAGGAGGATACAGAGATGCTTCAGTGTTTTTCAGAGAAGTGATTGAGTGTGCACATGCATTGCAGATTAAGTATAATGTGGATAAATATGAGGTTACAAGGTGTAGAGCTGGATGAACACAACAGGCCAAGCAGCATCAGAGGAGCAGGAAAGCAGCATCAGAGGAGCTTTCCTGCTCCTCTGATGCTGCTTGGCCTGCTGTGTTCATCCAGCCCTACACCTTGTTATCGGATTCTCCAGCATCTGCAGTTCCTACAATCTCTAAATATGAGGTTATCTGCTTTGGTAGCAAAAACAGGAAGGCAGATTATATTGTGAATGGTGATAAATTGGGTAAGGGGGAGGTGCAACAAGACCTGGGTGTTTTTGTACACCAGCTATTGAAAGTAAGCATGTAGGTGCAGCAGGTGGTGAAGAAGGCAAATGGTATGTTGGCCTTCATAGTGAGAGGATTCGAGTACAGGAGCATGGATGTCTTGCTATAATTGTACAGGGCCTTGGTGAGACCACACCTGCAGTATTGTGTGCCGTTTAAGTCTTCTTAGGAAGAAGATGGATTCTCTGCCTATTGAGGGAATGCAGTGAAGATTTACCAGACTGATCCCTGGGGTGGAAGGACTGATGTATGAAGAAAGATTGGATCAGTTACGACTGTATTCACTGGAGTTTAGAGGGGTATGGAATCTCATAGAAACCTGTAAAATCCTAACAGCACTAGACAGGATGAATGCAAGAAGCATGTTCCCAATGACTAGGGAGTCCAGAACCAGGTGTTACAGTTTAAGGAAATGGGGAGGCCATTTAGTACTGAGATGAGGAGAAATTTCTTTATCCAGAGAGCAGTGAAATTGTAGCTATACTGAGTTGGATGATCAGCCATGATCATACTGAATGGCTGAGTAAAATCAAAGAGCTGAATGGCCTACTCCTGCTCCTATTTTCCATGTCCTATATTTTGCAGCTCATTTCTTTTTCAAGTTGCATTGTGTCTTTTTGTCTTTCTAGAAGTTTTGTTTCAAGCCTTTTTTTTTGAGCTTGC